ATGTATAAAATGCAATAAGTTAGCAACGCAATTATATTACATATAAAAGTAGGAAACAAAAATAACAAGGCTTCCAATGACTCACTTGCACACAATGCAGCAATATGGTCGTTCAAGACCTGCATCTGTACTCTTTCCTTCTCCATTGCAACCTTCCTTTCCCTCTCCTCCTCAAACGCCCTCCGTCTCTCCAACCCTCATTTGTCAAGCCTGACACCGATCGAGTTACAAATACCGCTCTGTCTAGCAAACTCACGCATGTCCTTCTTCCGCTGTTTAACGAACAGGTCGACGTATTCAGGTCCATATCCCCTCTTCCATGCAATTACTTGCCTCCCCTTCAACTCATCCAAGAACCTAGCTTGACCATCATAAGATTCCCACTTGCATTTCCTAATGCTATGTTGAAACGAAAAATTAGATCATAAGTCTTAGCAAAAGAAAAAAAATACGATTTCATGTTTTTCACAACAATAACCAACCTCATCATAGTCAACCATATGGCTGCAATAATGGTCTATTCCAAGCTCCGAAGGGACTAGACTGTAGTTGGATTTAACACCACATTTGCACATGACAGGTGGTGCTTTGAAAATTACCCTTTCTTTCTTTTTTCCCTTTTCCTTTTCCTTTGTCAGCTCCGGCCATTAATTCTTAGGACCATAGAGCCACTCCTTGAAACGACACTTCGCAAATGTAAACACCTAAAAGAGGTGACATTAGTACATGAACACCTATAGCTCAACATTTCAACAGATACGCTGTCCACTTACTTCATGCTTGTTTGGACACACAAACTCCAACATATTATCAGGGTTTATCACAGCTCGATCTCCGTAATAGCACAGAGGAGGTTCCTCGAGTCGTCTAATTGTGGCTAAGTGCTTCTCCTTAGCCGTCATTGGCGGTGGGTTAGGGGGAGGTGGAACCCACCGCTCGAAGTGCTCACGTGGATGTCTCCCTCTCCAACAATCGTCAAAAAGGAGGTACCTTGGGTCGAACTTGTCTGTACCGTTGAAGGGTCGAGATGGCGGACTAGAGGGGGGGGTGAATAGTCTTTTCTAAAATTAATCGCGTCGGCTAACCGATATAAATGCGGAATTAAAACAATCGGTCTAGCCAAGACTACACCCCTCTATATATGCTCACTAGCACCTTGCCAAGATACTAATTATGCAACTAAGGTGCCGGACTAGCTAGAGCTCTCCTAAACAATTCTAGGAGCAAGGTCATACAAACCTATGCCACTAGTACTTTAAGCAACAAGGGAGCTCCTACACATGCTAGTAAGCAAAAACACAAAGCCAACTAAGCTCACTAGCAAAGCTCAATAACAAGGCAACCAATGCCTAATTAGAGAGCGCAAATACTTAGCTACACAAACTAAGCAATGTGACTAACAAGGTTACTAAAACCAAATTAGCCACGCAAGGGAGCTACTTCTATGCTACACAAGCAAGAAGGTAACTAGTAAGCTACACAAGCTAACTAATTACAAGAGCAACTACACAAGCTTAAGATATATAAAAGTAATTTCAAGCTTGTGTAATGGGGATGCAAACCAACGGGAAGAACAAGGTTGACACGATGATTTTTCTCCCGAGGTTCACGTGTTTGCCAACACGCTAGTCCCCGTTGTGTCGACCGCTCACTTGGTGGTTCGGCGGCTAATTAGCATCACCCGCTAAGCCCGCACGTCGGGCGTCGCAAGAACCTACCCCTTGAGTGAGGGTAGCTCAATGACACGCTTTACTAGAGTTGCTCTTCGTGGCTCCCACGGGGCGAGCACAATGCCCCTCACAAGCACTTCTCCGGAGCGCCGCACAAGCTTCTTGCGCGCTTCGACGGAGACCACCACCAAGCCGTCTAGGAGGTGGCAACCTTCAAGAGTAACAAGCACCACCGGCTTGCAACACGACCACCTAGTGCCACTCGATGCAACCTCACGATGCAATCGCACTAGAATCGCTCACTCACACAATCGAATGATCACTATCAAGTATATGTGTGATGGAGGGCTCCCAAGCACTCACAAGCATGGACACTAAGTCCCTTGAGGTGCTCAGCCCCAGCCATGGCCGAGGGCCACTTCTATTTATAGCCCCAAGGGCTAAACTAGCTGTTACCCCTTCACTGGGCAACGGTCGGGCCGACCGGACGCTCCGGTCGTGTTGACCGGACGCTGGACCTCAGCGTCCGGTCGCCCGCAGACGGCCACGTGTCCTGATTTCAACGGTCACTTGACCTGACCGGATGCAGCAGCTTTCAACTGACCGGACGCTGAACCCCCAGCGTCCGATCGTTTCCAGTAAGGTACCGACCTCGACCGGACGCGTCCAGTCACACTTGATCGGACGCAGCCAGCGTCCGGTCACACTCCAGCTTCTGCGTCATCGTACGTCAGCCTGACCGGACGTAGCCTGCCAGCGTCCGGTGCATTCAGATCCAGCGTCCGGTTAGTTGACCGACGCCAGCATCTTCGCGACTAACTCGTTTTCACTTCTAACTTCATCACCCTTGCTCCAATGTGCTAACCACAAGAACTTGCATCCGGCGCAATAGAAAATAGGCATTCTATTTTCCCGAAAGCGCCGAATGTGCCAACACCACCTCACCCCTGCAAACACCACCTCCTTTGTAAATGTGCCAACACCACCAAGTGTACACCACCATGTGTATGTGTGTTAGCATTTTCACAATCATTTCCCAAAGGATGTTAGCCACTCAACTTGCCACGCCACTCGATTCTAGCGACAATGCAAAGTTAGATCACTCGAGTGGCACTAGATGACCGATATGCAAACAAGTTTGTCCCTCTTGATAGTACGGCCATCTATCCTAAACCCGGTCATAAACTTCTCTACACACCTATAACCGGTGAAATGAAATGCCCTAGGTTATACCTTTGCCTTGCGCATTCCATTCCATCTCCTTCAATGTCGATGCAACACATGCACCAACACGATCAACAATGATATGATCCACTTCATATCATCACATGATCATATTGGTTCATCGATCTTGACTCTACTTGCTTTTCACCGTTGCTATCGTCCTTCGGCGCCAAGTCTTGCTCAAGCTTCACCGCCACGCGGTCCATCACTCCAAAGCCTTTGACTTGCCCTTCACGCTTGCAACCGGTCCATCAAGCCAAGTCTTGTCTTGATCTTCTCCACCTTGATCACATGACTCAATGTCATGTCTCATTTGCAATAAGCTCCTTCATCATCACATGTGTGAGCTTTACAACATCTCCAAGCCATTTTCACCTCCATGGCATATGTTGCTCATACACATGTACCTGTGGACTAATCACATGTGTATCTCACATAAACACAATTAGTCCACCTAGGTTGTCACTCAATTACCAAAACCAACAAGGACCTTTCAACCGTCGATCCACTGAAAGAAAAAACACATCTCATGGGCCTACACAACAAGATTCCAATAAAATATTAGTAACCTAGTAACATAAATGAAGAAAAAAACATACGAAAAGAATTACTTATATTAAAACGACTGCATGTGTGGAAGTAACGAGCCATTGTGTCCGGATGTCTCGATTGAAACATGTCGGCCGGACGACCACAATCACAATTAGGGACAGGGAGGTCAGGAGGAACGGGGGCATCTTTGCTAGACGCGTCGGGGTACAATTCTCTAGGAAAATCCTATTTTCGCCACAACTGCTCCTGATACATGTCTTATATCTAATAAAACGGTTGTAATTTAACATCAATCAAAACATCGCAAATTAATGTAAATGAGAACCATTTGCATTACAAGTAAAGTAATATAACCAACACTTATAGGAACAAAAATAAACCTTACACTAAACATGGTAATTACAACTAAAGTAATATAACCAACACTTATAGAAACAAAAATAAACCTTACACTAAACATGGTAAACATACTTCTAATCCTTGAATCCACCATTCAAACTAATATTTTTCTCCAAACCCTAGCTATCAATCCTAATACTTAATCTACCGTTCAAACTACTAATAAGAGCACCGTTACCTTGACTGAGGCCGAGGAGGAGCTTGGGGAAGGTAGGGAGGGGGGGGGCAAGGGAGGGAAATCGGGCGCGGGGAGTCGAGAGCCGACGGCGCGGGCGCCTCGAGCGCCCTCACTTGTAGTCGGGTAGACAGACAGAGGGAGGGAGCCCGCGGCGCGACGGTTAAGTCAGGCCCGGCCGCGTCATGACCGGCGGCGCAGCACTGACGCGTCATGATCCACGGCGCGGCAGCCCGGCCACGTCATCGCCCAACGCTGCTGCTGCCTCACACGTGGCTACCCCTGCCGCGCCAATTTGCCGCGCCATGCGAATAGGCGCGGCCAAAAGTGTTAGTTTTAAAACAACAGTGTTAGATTTAAAAATAGTTTAAAAAAGTGTTAAAAAAAATCGATACATGTGCTTTAAAAAGGCCTAGCGCGGCCGTTATCTCAAGCCGGCGTACTCCGTCACGGGTCATAAAAAGTCATTAACCCGACAAAAGCCATACCGGCGCCATTAAAAAATCAAAGGATCTCCGCCTCCTACTCCTCCGATCTGTCCGTGTTCGGTTCCAACAACTCCCGCGCAGTACCGCAGCTCACTGTGCACCTGCATTGATCGCTCCAACGGTCTTCCAAATCATTCCGGGCCAGATCGCGTAGCCCCACAGGCCAGCCTCCCAAGCGCCCCGAGGCCACGTCGTCCCCACTCCCTCTTACCGTCTCACGTGCTCTCGCCTGACGAATTTGAACACCCCCAACGGCTCTCTCTCATCTCCCCCCGGCGTCCCCGTCCCTATCCCTCCGACGGTCCGACCGTTGCGGGAGGCGAAACGCTCCTCGTCCTCGTCCCCGTCAGCCCGCCCGCCCGCTTGCAAATCCAGCTGCTAAATTGCTCCGCACTCGCACGCCCTCTCTGTTCTCTCTCCTAATCCCGATACTCACCTGTCCCTAATCCGTACGCGCATCCATCGCGCACCGGCAGCGGCGGCGACGCAAAGATGTCAGCAGCGTTCACTGAAGAGGAGAAGGCGGTGGACGACGCGCTGGGCTACCCCAAGGCCCACGCCAGGCTCTGCCGCAGCGGCGGAGGGGCGGTCGGCCTGCCCTACAGCCACGGCCCGCCGCACGCATTCCTCCCCTACGTCCTCCAGCCGCACGAGGTACGTGTGTGTTCAGCGGTCGCCTGATCCGATCCCTCACCTCACCGCCGCTCTGCGTGACCCGAGCGCGCGCAGAGGGAGACGAGCTGAGCTGAACTGACCGAGTGGTTACGGTGGGTGCAGGCGCTGCGGGCCAAGGACCTGAACGAGATGTTCCCGGTGACGGACGCGGAGGCGCCGCCCACCGCCAACCCCCGTGGATTCTCCAACCTCCTCTGGAAGCAGCTCGACCACCTCGGGTGCGTGCGTCACGGTTTGGTTTCCGCTTCGCGATGTCACGTCCTTTGTCAGTTCGGCTGATTGATATCTGCGGCGATTGGATGCAGGAATGCGGGGTTCGATCCGGCGCTCTTCCGGGTGGACGCGTACGGGAACGTGCTCTACTTGCACGCCGACTCCGCCTCGCCCCTCGCCTGGGACATCGACCACTGGTTCCCCTGCGCCAGTAAGGAATCGCTGCGATCTGATGAGTTTTTTTTTCAGCCTCGAACACTCTTACTGACCGCTTGATCGGTGGTGGCTGTGGATGTTTGCAGGGGGAGGGAAGACGGTGCCGAGCAATCTGCGGATAGTGCAGTGGCAGGTGTGCAGGAAGAAGCAGAACAAGCTAGAGTTCCTCATGCCGTGGTGGGATCTGCAGCTCGGCGTCTCTGTCAATCAGTTCCTGTCCATCTTCGCCTCCAAGAACTCCGACTTCAGGTACTCTTGCTGCCGCCGCCGACTAGTTACAGGCCGGGTGCCCATCTTTCGGCTGCTTGCCCCTGTAGGAACCTAGCCTTAATGTACCTCTTGGGTCCTCTTGACCGTGCAGAAACAGAGCATTCGCGTTCTTGTTCACCCATGGTGCCAGCGAGGAGCTGAGCTCGCTGCAGGTGGTGGAGGCGCACGCGTTCCCGCAGCACTTCTCTGAGATGAAAACGAAAGTAGGACTCGCCCCTGCTGCAATTGTTTCCTCTAGGGGTTCTGACAACTCGGTGCTCAAATCTCTTGATGCGAACCGACCGCTCAGGCCTACTTACCCTTTGATTGGTATAAATTTCCTTCATGCTTTGATTTTGTAATGAGCGTGTTCATATGATCTGTGGAGTTCTAATTGATCATTCTCTGTGTAGCGGCTAAGAAATTTACAGGCGAAAGGGATGAGAATGTCCACTTGGCAGGACAGGGGCTAATTCCACAAAGGAGAACAATAACCCAGATGTTGATGGCTACATTAGCAATCCCTACTTGTCCATAGCTATGGCTAGGGACTCGCTGAGGCAACGAGAAGAGGCCAAGAAGAAGCAGGCCGAGCTTACAGAATTGGAGAACGAGGCCAATGAGCTGAAGCAGAAGAACGAAGAGGAGCGGGTGGCCATCCAGGACTTGGAGGCCCTCCTAATCAAGAGGAGGCGGCGAGTTGAGAAGTGCCGTCGCTTGTCAGAGGCTCAGTCCAACTACAAGGCAGTGCTGGAGAAGATGATCAGAGATGCCATGCACCAGTAAGCATGATTGCTTAATTAAAAGAGCATTAACATGCGCTATTCAGAAGTTTAGTGATGCTAATTATTTATCTGTCAATATATGAAATGCAGGTCCGTTGTGTACAAGGAACAACTTAGGGTGAACCAAGCTGCAACCAGCACTCTCATGGCCAGATTGGAGGCCCAAAGAGCAATGTGTGACTCATCTGAAACCGAGCTCCGGAAGAAGTACCAACATAGAGATGATTTGGAGAGGCAGATAAAGCCAGAAAGGAAGAGGTATCGTGTTGATGATGGATTGCTCGAGGAGAGGCACAGTGAGAGTGTAAAATATCTTTCAGCAAGAAGATTGAGGAGTAGCCCTCTCAAGCAGGAACTGAGGGTTTTCCTGGAGGAATATCAGAGGAATTCAGATGCATACATTTCACTAGGCGAAGAAGAAATTGGAGAAGGAACTTCAACACGTACTCCAGCATTCGAAAATGCCAGAAATGAACCATTGAAGGTGCTAAACTTCCCGAGGAGGTCTCTTTCCATTGAACAGAACACTGTAGATACTGAAAGAGGCAGAACACTGGTGCGGGAGAAGCTAGAAGAGTTGGCCATCAAAGAACGGCAACATAGCAGGAGACGGGAAAGAAGAGAGACCATGAGATCGAGGGGAACTGGTACACCTATAAGATCAAGAGACAACAAGGCTAAAGTGACCATGCAGAAGTGCTACAAGTCTGAATCTGAGAGATATCATGCCAGTGAGACAGTTTCAGTACCGAGGACCTCATCACTTCCAAGTCCACCCTATAGAGCAACGGGCATGTATGGAACTTCCAGATATGGTACAGATCAGTCAATGCTACTACAAAAGAGTGAAGCACTTCACCACCGAGGTTTTAGCAGACCAGAAGATGATGAAAACATGGACCATGTTGGCAAAGGAAATGTGGATAAGTGGCTCCATATGCTCATGGATAACCAACAAGAAGATCATGCTGTATACCATTCTTCAGATGAACACGATAATGACGAGGAGAATGCTTCAGATGAGCAGCAAATGCAGAGCCGAATTGACGAAGAGAGCTGCAGGAATGGGATAACTGAATGTTCCGATGAGATTGTTGAGGTTGAGGACGAGATTGTTTCTGACCAGGGAGCAGAAAGAGGCAGAAACAGCTTTGGAATTAAAGACAGAGAGGAAAAGAAGATTTGGTTCCCTAGGTCTGACAGCACCAGGGGTTTCCGGTCACTGCCATCATCACCCTCCAAGATCCTGGGAATGAGAAGAGGTGTGGAATGCATGGGCAGGAAGCCTAAGGTGGCTGGTGACAATGACTGCAGATATGGCTATGAGGATTCAGTGTCCACAAGCAGCAGCAAGTTCCTCAGCAGATGCAAGCAGGCAATCAAGAAAGCAGTACACAAATAGGTTGTTGCACCATACGTCTGAACCTATTTATTCTTCCTTCAGTGTGTTCAAAATCGATGCAATTTGTTATAGTCTCGGTAACTGAATAAGTGAGTGAGCATAGCTTGCAGACTTCTGTCTGATGCTTTGCCTTATAGTTGTGTGATATTTATTTTTTATGGTCACCCGGACAACAATTTTTTATTCTTTACTTTGTTAGAAAAGATAAAACTATTCCTGTTCCTGAGCTGTAGAAGTCTGAGATTTATGTGCATTTACGATTTTACATTTTCCATGTTGATCTGTTCGTGGCTTCTGCCTATCAGCAGTTGGTGCTTTCAGTCTACTAGTACGTCATACAGTTCAGTCAGATAATTTCACCATGAACAGAAACTCGAGATGACAGTAACACAATAGGGCATTCAAACTCAAAGGAATTACAACTATAACCCCAAGCAAAAGCAGAAAACACAATAAACAACCATTGATCACCATTCCTTCGACATCCCCATCTCAGGACGTTGACTTGCGCCACTTTGCGTTCGGCGTCGCCGTGGCGGTGCTGCTCTTCTTCCCCTTGGGCGGCGTCCGGCGTTCCATGTCGCTCTCCGAGTTGTCTACCCTCGCAACATCGGCGCCCATGCCACCGCCGAACCAGAACGCGCTCCACTTGAAGAAGCCGCCGCCGCCGCCGCCGCCGCGTCGCCGCCTCTCGGAGCTCAGCCTGTCCACCTGGGCCTGCAGCGCGTTGCACTGCACCTGCAAACGCAGAGTACGTACGTTCCAGTGTCAGTGTAGCCGATCGGACCACTGAATCGAACCTCGTGCGGACTCGGAAGCTCAAGACGACGACGAAGAAGAACCTGGAGCCTGGCCACGTCCTCGCGGAGGCGGCGCACCTCCTGGTGCTGCGCGAGGACCTCGCGCTTGGAGGGGCAGCGGCCGGGGAGCTCCAGCGCCGGGTTGGGGCTGCGCTGGCTGCTGAAGGAGTTGCTCAGCTCGGCGAGGCGGTTGAGCTTGCCGTGCTCCGAGAAGAGCACCTGCATCACGGAGCGCACCGGGATGCGCTCGTTCTGGACGGCGTGCGCCGCGGCCTCCGCCGTGAGCTTGCGCGCGTCGATCAGCCGGCACAGCGACTTCCGCTCCTCCTTGGCGGTGTTCGGATGCGCCTGTCGGAAATGGAGCCATGCCAAGGAATAAGGATCAGCGGCCATTTCTTTGAAGCATGTCACAGAACTTTTGGATTATCTTAATGCAATCCTAATTCTACTAAATGCAAATCATCAATGTGCACCGCACAAAGTAGCGATCCTGATTCCTGAATCTGACGTGACTTTTCATGCATGGCCAGTGTATCATCGATTTGACATGCGAATATATCAGCGCCGTCAGCATTATATTCCCGACGACAGAAAGTGTCTCACGCCGTGTTTAGTTGGAGGCCAAATTCCAAAAAGTTCTCTCAGCGGCAAATTAAATGTAGAAAAGAAAAACTAATTGCACAGTTTGGTGGGAAATTACGAGAGACGAACGTTTTGAATGGAATTAGTCCAGAAATAAAAAACAGGCTTCTTCTAAACAAGGCCTCAGCGGCAAAATGCAGAGCAATGGAACAGAACAGGCTTCCCCAAGATTTCTTTTGCTGCATTTCGATCTCAAAACTGATGGTGTTCTGATACTCAGGCCCGTGAAATCAAAAGAAAGATCCTGTCACTGTTGTAGACTGCACCCAGGTCCCCAGGCACATCCAGCCAGCAGCACGCAATGGGACTCTGAGAATCTAGAATTTCTGTTCACGCCTGCAAAGATCCCTGAGCAGGTTGCAGGCGCCGCTGCTTGCTTGGGAACTCCGTCCACACATTTTCAGATGGATCTATCTGAACAGGATATTATTAGTACTAATCAACTATCAAGCACATCTAGTTTCCTGTGAAAAATGCAGGTGTACAGTAACCCTGCTGGTGGCTGGTCATCGCAGCTAGCAGGACAAAAGGAAAGTGTGGCCGAGTAGTTTATTGCACAGGGCACCAAAGCCCAAAGGGACAAGAAGGGTTTTCATATCCACAAGCAGTCAAGCGCCTATTCCCATGTGTAATGACAGTTGACAGGTCTCTCTGTCTCTCTGCTGGTTAACCGGTGGAGCTCACGTGACACTGTGACGACACTGACATCTCTCTCCAAACGTTTGCCCTTCGCTAACAGAGTACTACGGCCTTGTTTAGATTGAAATTTTTTTCAACCTGATCAATAGTATCACTTTCGTTTTATTTGGCAAATATTATCCAATCATGGACCAACTAGGCTCAAAAGATTTATCTCGTGATTTTAATTAAACTGTGTAATTAGTTTTTTTTACCTACATTTAATACTCCATGCAAGCGGCTAAAAATTGATGTGATGAAGAGAGAGTAAAAAAACTTAGAACTTTGATGGATCTAAACAAGGCCTACAGCGTCAAACAGCAAAGCGTGAAGCTTCAGCGACTAGTTGTGATTTTGGACACTACAGTGAGTGACACCAGTAGATAAGACGTTTCAGCCTTTTTGACATATACTCACCCTATGCAATGCAACAGACAAATGCTAGTAGCAAGGGTTTTAGCGACAAATGGGAGGGAATTTTTTTTTTAAAAAAAAATCTTTCATTGTCAAACCGTGCAAGCAAGCAACCGAATGCTATCATTCAGTTCACAGGCCAGGCACAAACAAACCCATGGATAAATAAAATAACTAGTGTGTGGTTTGTTCCCTTCCCTATAGAATCATAGAATAAATATAGTTGTGTGTTGCAGGCTTTGTTATGATTTTTGCTGTGATGGTACACTACGCCTAGGACCTAACTTATGATTGCAGAATAATTGGATTTACGGCCAGACAGAAGTTGCCTCCAACAATAATAAAAATGGACACGGGTAGTACTACAATGCTAGCTAGCATTGAATGGTCCAATGCAAATCACAGTACAGTCAAACACAGAACCACATGGACATGCCTCGCAAGTTTTCAGGCGCCCAAAGAAGGCCAGAGTCGCGCCCAGTATATGCATGCCTGATTCGGTGATTCCTATCGCTTTTACAGTACTGCTTTACTTTACTAAGAATAATTACTGGTATCTGTATCTCCAGCACAGATTCAAACTAAAGATGGCAACGCCCCCAATATCCGATACCTGACGGGTATTTGATCCATTAGGAGACGAGATGAGATCATATCTTTATCCGTGAGCATCTAAATGGGCAAGAATCCATCTCCGGCGGGTATAGCGGGTACGGGAACGTTCCCTGTTTACCCGTCCCCGTTACCCGTTGAGGAACCCGACTATTTGAGCTGTCATGCGAGTATTAGGTCCAAAGAAGCTCAACATAGGTATTTTGGCCCAAATCTGAACAATTATATATATAGTTTGTGTGTTTTAGAAACCATAGTTCAATTTTTCCTCACCATTTCCGCCAGCAGCACAAGCATGTCTGTTTCACGAGCGCTCGTGCCCCTCGCTTCCTCAGTTTGGTCTCTCTGTCACCTTTGCTCGTCCTCCTCGCAACCTTGCTCCTTCTCCTCGGCATCTCCGAGACTCCGACACTTATACCCGGGTGAAGAAGAAACGTCTCCGATTGCAAAGCTGTAACCCCAAGTGTCCTTGTTTATCGGGTATGCAGTACCCGTTGGGTATCTGTTACCCGACCAATGCTCGACCGGTATGGGGATGGGCAATAATCTATACCCAAGACAGTTAATGGGAACGAAAACGAGATGAATTCTCCGTAGCGGGAAAGAAAACGTTCCGATCATACCGATGGACATCCCCGTTGCCATCCTTAATTCAGAACACGTCCTGGGATTGTCTGCAACCCAAGGCAACCCCACTAACCCACCAACTCAAGAACACAGACTTCACCACCACTGCCTTTTTGCCGTGCATGAAATGGCGTTTCCAAATGAAACTGAAACCAACGGTCTCTCGTCTCCACTAGTAAGATTTCCTCTTTTGACCAATGTCACTGCAAGATACAGTATGGGATTGCAATGCAAGAATACAGGTAAGGTAACTGTGCACTAATACTGACACGGTGGCTGCATGTGCATCGAGTGATGCAGAGGCCTGAACGGAGGATTTTTCCTCGTCTAAAAAACTGTTAGCACTGAGTCACTGACATGAAGACGCGGCTATGTTGTTCGTGGCCGTGGCCTTTTCGGCGAGCAGGAATGGGCACGCACGCGTGCTACGCCGCACGCGCGCATGGTGTGCCACCGAGAGTCATGGAGTGCAATCAAGGACAAGGAGGAACCAGGAATGGAAAGGGAAGGACCGAAGGAGTGTGGCGGGAGCGCATGCGCACCTTGAGGTAGGTGTCGACGGCGCGGTAGAGCGCGTCGTCGGCGGGACGTGCGTGTGCGGGCACGGCGCGCGCGAGCTCCTCGAACTCGGCGGGGCGGAGGCCGGCCTCCAGCGCGGCCTCGGCCAGGTACGCGTCCACGAGCCTGGCAACCCTCGCGGCCGCCGCGCCGCCGCCGCCGATGATGGTGGCGCCGCTGCTGGCCTTGCTGGCGCCTGCTGCTGCGCCCTCCTTGAGGAACCCGCGGACGAGGCGCAGCACAAGGGGTACGTCGAGGAGCAGCGCCGACGAAGCGTGGTCCCCGGCGTGCCCGAACGCCGGTATCATCACGGCGCCCAGCGTGGCCTGGTCCAGCCGCCGCGCCGCGCGGGCCTCCAGGTCCCGCAGCAGCGCCGCGTCCGCGCCCACCATGCTCCCCGCGCGGAGCAGCTTCAGCAGGAAGTCGCACGTGATGCCGTCATCGGTTGCGACGGCCGCGGCGGTGGCGCAGCAGCCGCCGCCGGCGACCGCCGCTGGAGGGTCCGGCGGGAGCGCGGCGACGAGGGACTCCAGCAGGAGCCCCTTCTTGAGCCACGTGGCCGTGGGGCTCTCCGGGGGCAGGAAGCGCCCAGACACGGACGACGCCGGGGACGACGACGCGAGGGGCGGCCCCACGTCCGGGAGCCACTTGGCCGCGTAGTGCGACAGCACGGACGCCAGCATGTCCGGGCGCGCGCACGACGCCGCCTTGGACTTGACGGCCGCCACGGTGCGCGCGAAGTTGTCCACGTCGTTGACGCACGAGTCGTCGCTGGCGCTCGCCGCCGCCGCGGCCACCAGCCACGGCTCCGAGGCCGAGCGCGCGTGCTCGGCGCTGCCCATGCCGCCGCGGGGCGATGGGGTCTTCGGGCTCTGAGTCTGAGACGACGACTTCATGGCTGCTGCTGCTGCTGGTGGTGGTGGCGGCGGCGGGGCGCGCGCAAAGCTCTTCGAGGCTCTCGGCTGCTGCTGTCTGTGCGAGCGCGAGTGTGTAGTATTAGTAGTTGGCGATGGCGAGCAACGGAGCTAGCTAAGCTAGCAACGTGTGTGAGCAGCTGCAGCTGCATGCTTGGTCACTTGAGAGAGTTGAGAGTGTGTGCATATGGATGGACCAGTCGGCACTGTTTGACTTACCCCATATTCGATTTGTTCGGCTTTTTTTTTATTCGGAACAACGTTTTTCTCTCGCAACAATTCAATCGGATCAGTGTTTTCAATCAGTTTCAGCTAAAATTCTACCAGCCGAACGGGACCGACAAAGGCACAAAAGCTGTGCTGCAGTGCGAGAGACGGTGACATACTTGGACCGGAGTGGGTACACAGGCATATGGCTGCGGATGGTATAGTCATCATACCATTCTAACGCATACAAAAACGTATATGCATAAATCGCCAAAACACGCCTGTGTTTCTATGTATCATTGGCATGTGTAATTCAAGTATTTGGTGGGTGAAAGTGAAACGTACAATGTAGCTGTAGACTGTAGTGTATGCACAGCACATCTACTGTTCTCTGGACAAACTTACACAGACGGATCGAGTTTTGAAGAAGCGAGAGCAGCACCATGTGCATCAGTGCGTCTGTGTAGCGCAGCTAGCGCTGCCTGGAGTGTGGACCTCGTACCTTTACTGTTTCATCCGCATACCGCACCTGGGCCAAGGTCCGAGTGGACCACGTAGCTAGTCGTACATACATGCATGTTCTTGAGCCATACACATCTGTAGTCAGAATAAAACGGTGCAGGCTTAGTTGGTTTAAACTCACTATAAGCCAAGGGGTTTCAATGCCCGCAACCTTGCAAGCTGAACAGCATGTGTACTTTCTCAGTTACTATTTTTAACGCCCATAGAGTGAATTTCACAAATATCGCTAGATTCTTTGCCAAAATTACCACAAACCTATATATTTTACAAGTTACAACAAAAGTATGTATTTAACAAAGTCAAAGGTTTCACAAAATTATATAGATCTACAGCCTGTTTTCACAACTCTAGCTCCGAGATCTATGCTGACCTATAGTTTGCAGACTAAAGCCCCCTTTGGCACGGCTCATCCAAAACGGCTTCATCGGTGAAGCCAAAGCCGGTGAAGCCAGAAAAACTGGCTTTTCTCGGCTTCTAGTTCATTTTAACCCTGACTTACAAAACGGCTTCACGCTACAGTGCCTCGATTTACGCAAAATAGATGAAGCCGAAGCCGGCATAAGCCGTGCCAAAGAGGCCCTAAACCAAAAGTGGTTTATATGTTTTTAATCATGGTAAATATGTAATTTAGATTAAATTTTGTTTATATCTCCAATCATGTGACCACGCAATAAGTTATACCCAACGTACGTCACGTTTGCTAGTATAGTAGAGTTATTGTTCATAGCAAGGTAATTGCCCATCCAGTATATGTAGATTGATAGTAGCGGTGGCGACTCACGTGAAGGTGTTACAAAAACGGCTATCACCTCATGTCCCCGACGGAGCCAGAGGTGTCACTCGTCCTCGTGCTCGTGCTAGTGCTAGTGCTAGTGCTCGTGCCTTTTTGCCATGGCTGTATTGTAGCTGTAGTCGCTTCTCACCCTAGACGACATGGATCGCGAAGAGAAGAAACATCTAATCATGCATGGGCTTGCAACTTGCATTCGTTCTGGATCGCCTGAGCCTTGAATGCCTGATCGAGAGACGCGCGCGACGCGCGCGATCGAACGCGACGTGCGACTGGCATGACTGCATGCACGCCAGCAGTATGCGCACGCGGCACCACGCGTCAGCAATGCGCATGCCCGTGCCACAGCGGTTGTAAACCAGATGTACAATACGGCGCGACTTTCAGTGGTGCCGCCGTGCCGTGCCATTCCATGCCATGCGCGCGACGCGAACGCGATCGAACGCGACGGCGACGAGAGAAGCTAGACTGCATGCACGCCACGCAGTAATGCGCACGCGACAAAACACGTCTTCAATGCTCATGTTCCCGTGCGTACAGCGGTCGTAGCTGTCTACGTACTGTATACGGCACGCGATCGCATCTCCTGTGCAGAGCCAAAGGCCCGTATATATGCCCGTAGTATATGGTATGGCGCGTCCGTACGGTATGACTGTACGAGTGCCTGCGTCGGTATGCGCCGCCGCAAACCGGGTCCTTTTCGAGCGTACCTGCATATTGGCACCACGCAATCATGCATGCCACAAAAAAGGTTGTTGCATACCCGGTGGCGGAGCCAGAGCTGAAAGCTAGAGGGGTTCGGATCCAGCTCCATAGCAGATCTGCCTAAAATTTCTCTCTGTTTCTTTGGCTAAGGCATCGGCGTTAGAAGCTAGATAACTTTTTCACGCTGTCATGTTGGCTCTGTTGTTCAGCTATAAAATCAAGTGTAAGAACATAACTATATATATGCAGCCATGCGACTGTGCAGCAAGTAATATGCATACAATCTTACAGAGTCACAGGTATCCTTTAAAAAATTACCAACAATAAGGGGCCAGAGCAAGGATAGGGAGGCCGGGCTCCGCCGGCATACGAGGATGGCTACCAAATGGTCGTATATTTTAATTTATTTTCCGCCGCCAAAACCAACCCCCCTACAAGCCCGCTGTGTCTGCGTGTTTTTGCTTGCTGCAGCGTGCACTGTGGTCTGCGTGACCAGTGAGCAGTGATAGTGAGATCGTTTTTCACCTACGCTTGCTTGGTCTATTTCACCTTTCTAACTATGAAACAGCGTGCGTCTTTTCAAAACCACTCCGGTCTTTTTTACCTGACCAATGAGCAGTGATGGTGAGATCGGACGACCGGCCGGCATCTCTTTTTTATTTACCGGTTTTCGCGCTGCATAAAATGAAAACCGTTACTGAAGTGTTAGTGTCTAGAGGGGTAAAATAGACTCAACTTGGTAGCCGATTTCTAGCCGAGCTAATATATGACAAAGATAGCAGAGAAGCATCGAAAAGGAAAGGTGTGGAACAGAGGAGGTCCGCCGCGGCCCGCGATCCATAGACACCTCCTGTTGGCGGTGTCGGCCCTCGTCGTGGTCCTTGCGGGCTTTGCCAGGCTCCCACCCCCACCCCCACAGGCCACAGGCCCACGCCCACCCACCCGTTCGCCCGCTTCCTCCTTGTCCCGTTGCGCTCTCCCCCGCGCCCCCGTTTACCCGCGCAGGCCCGCGCCACCGCGGCGCCTCCCCAACCACCAGGCCACCACCACCGTTCTCCCCCGAGGTCCCCCGCCGCAAGGTGAACCCATCAACCACCCCGCGGTCATTCGCTCGTGTATGCCGCTGGGGCCGCTCCGCACCCGCGCCCGCCGCCTGCTCGACGGAATTCCGCTCCGGGGCCCGGCCGCGGCGCGCGAGGATGCGGTCGCCGGGTACGCGCGTATGCTGGCGCGCGGGGCCAGGCCCGACGCCTACACGTTCCCGCCCCTGCTCAAGGCGGTGGCGCGCGCGGCGGGCGGCTCCGGCTCCGTGGCGCCGGCGCGCGCCGTCCACGCGCACGTGGTCAGGCTCGGGATGGGCCGCAACGCGCACGTGGCGAGCTCGCTGGTCGCCGCGTACGCGGCCGACGGCGACGGCGCGGCGGCGCGCGCGCTCGTGGGCGAGCGCGGGCGTGAGGGCGAGACGCCCGTCGTGTGGAACGCGCTGATCTCGGGCCACAACAGGTGCAGGCGGTTCGGGGAGTCGTGCTGCTCGTTCGTGGACATGGCCAGGGCCGGCGCCGCGCCCACGCCGGTCACCTACGTCTCGGTGCTGTCTGCCTGCGGGAAGGGGACGAGAGACGTGCTGCTCGGGATGCAGGTGCACGGGCGCGTCGTGGGGAGTGGGGTGCTGCCGGACCTCAGGGTGGAGAACGCGCTGGTCGATATGTACGCCGAGTGTGCTGACATGGACTCGGCCTGGAAGGTGTTCCACGGCATGCAGGTGAGGAGCGTGGTGTCCTGGACGTCTTTGCTTTCTGGGCTCGCGAGGTTAGGCCAGGTTGATGAAGCGAGAGACCTGTTTGATAGTGTGCCTGAGAGAGATACAGTCTCGTGGACCGCGATGATTGATGGGTATGTGCGGGCTGCCCGGTTCAGGGAGGCATTGGAGATGTTCCGTGAGATGCAGTATAGCAATGTGAGTGCAGATGAGTTCACCATGGTGAGCGTGATCACAGCCTGCGCGCAGCTAGGTGCTCTGGAGATGGGAGAATGGGTGAGGGTTTACATGAGCAGGCAAGGGATTAAGATGGATGCCTTCGTCGGTAATGCGCTCATAGACATGTATTCCAAGTGCGGAAGCATTGAGCGTGCATTGGATGTTTTTAAAGGCATGCACCACAGAGATAAGTTTACTTGGACAGCTATCATACTTGGTCTCGCGGTGAATGGTTATGGGGAAGAGGCTATTGAAATGTTCCACAGAATGATCGGGGTTTCAGAAACTCCAGATGAGGTGACATTCATTGGTGTTCTCACAGCCTGCACCCACGCTGGCTTGGTTGACAAAGGACGGGAGTTCTTCCTCAGCATGATAGAGACCTATAATATTGCCCCAAATGTGGTGCATTATGGATGCATAATTGATCTCCTTGGCAGAACTGGGAAAATAACAGAAGCTTTGGAGACAATAGATCAAATGCCGATGACACCCAACTCCACTATTTGGGGGACCCTGCTGGCAGCTTGTAGGGTTCATGGCAATTCAGAGATAGGTGAATTGGTAGCAGAGCGCCTCCTTGAGCTGGATCCAGAGAACAGCATGGTGTACATCCTTCTGTCAAACATTTATGCAAAGTGTAACAGATGGGAAGATGTTCGGCGGCTTAGGCATGCAATAATGGAGAAAGGAATAAAGAAAGAACCTGGTTGCAGTCTGATCGAAATGAATGGTATTATTCATGAATTTGTAGCTGGCGATCAGTCTCATCCTATGAGCAAAGAAATCTACTCTAAGTTGGAGAGCATAATCAATAATTTAAATAGTGTTGGGTATTTTCCTGACGTAACTGAGGTCTTTGTTGAAGTCGCAGAAGAAGAAAAGCAGAAAGTTCTTTACTGGCACAGCGAGAAGCTGGCAATTGCTTTTGCATTACTCAGTTCAGAACCTAATACTGTGATAAGAATTGTGAAAAACTTGAGGATCTGTTTGGACTGCCATAACGCAATTAAATTGATTTCAAGGTTGTATGGAAGGGAGGTTGTTGTGAGGGACAGAACACGCTTCCATCATTTTAGACATGGATTCTGTTCTTGTAAAGACTATTGGTAACTCCTTATGCATCAGCCACATAAGGCAGCTGAAATCTGTAGCCTCAGCTTTGAGCTTTGAGTGATCACCTGATAGGCGAGCATGAGTTCTCTCTAGAAATGTAGTGTTGAGTATTGACTGCAGTTCAGGAAGTGAATAGAAGCATGATAGTATAGTTGATCCAGTGAACCCTTCACCCTATATTCTGTTTTTGCTAATCTTCTTGCACCTTGATGTCAACCTTGACATATCTGATGGTTCTGTTCAGCATTTATTCGGAGAAAGGTATTTTATTACATGTTCTGCTACATGTCATAAGAAATATGTTCTAACTTTGTTTATTAGAATATTCTTTTGAGAAGATTCAGATTCAGATTCTTGGACGTTGAAATGTGCAATAGTGGTAGAGTTAAAAAGGTATTTTAAGTGTCTCAATATCTAACTCTTGGATTTGGCTTTGCAGAATTTTCTGATGGAGAATTACTTGCTGTACAATTGTTTGGCTCTGGTGTGAAGCAAATTTTTTTTTTTTGGCACAGCTGCATTTGGTTGATTGATCATGTCTTGATCACAGTTTGGGCCTAAATAAAACAAGGTATATTTTATTTCTCAGATCTGTGGCTCTCATATGTTTTGATCATGTCTGCTTGGTTTCTACTTGAAACTGTAATGAACCTGAAACATTGGTCTTCATTACACAAAGTAGATTTGAGTTCATGCTTCATTCACACTTTTTCCATAAATCTTGACAATTTGTAATAGTTAGAAAATAGTCAGTCTTTATTTATCTGCTTTAGTGACATGAGGAATTGTCTAACTATATATGCATAGTCAGAGTCGCTTGATAAATATGCTTGTTAAAAACTATCTTAGAAGACTGAACTGCATTCTTAGCATTTGTTTTTTCAAAGAGAAATAATAACAGATTCAAGCAATAGAGTTATTCACTTTAGTTTTGTAGTATGATCCATGAGCCCTTGTATTTTTCATGTTATCATACTGCTAAGTGTAAATTAAGATTTAATTCTTCAGTGGTGTATGCTAAATTTCCCCTCTCTTTTTTCCCTTCCTTTAGAGCATCCATCTCTTTTGATCTCTTATTTGACAATTGGCATATCTGGACATCCATTTTATGCTATCCTACTGCTATTGTTCATCTATTTTATGTCATGTTTTCTCCCCTTCTGCATCTCATCTGTGGTGAGCTCCACTCCATTTAGTTGATTTTATGATGCTGATCTTGACCACCGAATTTGTGCCAAACAAAAGTTTTGAAAAAATAAACTCAATAATAGAGTGACTGCAATGATCTTCAGTACCAATAATTTCTCGGAAATATGTTGAACTCGTTGTGTGCTGCCAGGTCATGCTATTTGATGGTGAGTGCCACCTGCCACCGGCACATTTACCTTTATTTATTCGACAACAGTCTCGACCAGTACATTTCCCTGATCACCAATCAACATTCTTGGGCCGATGCTGAACCATAGAAAACAGTTTAAACAATAAGGAAACGAAATCTATTTACCTATTTCCAGGGTGAATAAACACATTTTGCCAACATATGGCAAGACTAGGATGTGAGCAGGATAAATGGGTACTTCAGAAGGTACCAATTAAAGAATGAATGAAACATGACTGATCAATGAACTCGTAAGTCATATTTTGTTAGCTATGCCTCTCATTATACTAGATTATAATCTGATCTAATTGAAAAAGTGTAAGATGATTACAAGATGCAGGCTGCTTGTTTGCTGGTAAAAGGATACAATTAAATGCCTTCTTTGTGATGCACAAAGTTGGTGAGAATATATAGTATGTAGGGAATGGCGACAGTCAGTATCTCTTGGGCTGAATAAAGATTTCACAAGAGGAACTTGAGCATCAAAAAGGTTATAGTACGTAGGGAATGGCGACAATCATTTTTACAATTAGGTTTGGATCCACAAATTGCTGTGGACATTGCCTTTTTAATACTATTCAAATGCTTGTGGTAACAGTATTCTCAGCACAGAATCTTACCAACTTAAGAGGTGTGTGCTAAGAAATGGTTCCTTTGTATATGAAGTTTTATTCCCTATTTAGTCTAGGGTGATGACAACGTCATCTGTTAGGATCTCTTTTTTATGTTATAGATTTTTGTAATAGTATCATGATTTTGGGGACGGGACATGCAATGTATTAGCTTGTACTCGTATATGTCATCTTAAATGCACGTGAAATTCCCTATGACACAAAGTTGTGGCTTCGGTCGTCGGCACGGGGTTCTGGCACCCGCACGCCATGGACGCCGTCTACTCCACGACAGACGGACAGAGTACCAGTTTGTTTCCTCCTTTCGTGAGCTCTGTCGCCTCGCCTTCTACACTTCGCTACCGGTGCAAACAACACCTGCCCCTGCCCCCTCTCTTCCCAGCCCACAGTCGATGCTCGTCACAGCACGCCCCACACTGTGAGTGAACCTTAGACGTTCTTTATTATCAAACAAACTGCTATTATGCTTTCTGGTTTTGTTTCAGATAAGCATGACCTTCAATCCTTAACTTGGCATTCGTGCTAAAAAAAAGGATATCGACAGTCCATTTCAACTGTGACAAAGATCATCAGCCTGTTCGCTTGCTCGTATACGATCGTGAATTATAAGCTGGAACAGTATTTTTCTCTCATGCCAAACCAGCCAGCAGTAAATAATTCACGATCGTTTACGACCATGTCTTAGTTTGAGTTCAAAAAAAAATCATGTGTTGGTTTGCTCCAACAGCGGAGCACATGTTAAGGGCGACATAAACTCATCCATCTTCGTATGGACTCACGTCATAGGGGCATTCGTGCTAAAAAGAGATATTGTCAATCCATTTCCATTGTGATAAAGAGCACGTGTTGGTTTGCTCTAACAACGGAGCACGTGTCGGACGGCACATACTCATCATGTATACGGACTCACATCATGAGCTCCCAACATAGGTAGGCTTGCGGCAACGCCACATGTGGTTTTCAGTATTATATCTACTCCCTCAGTTTGTCTAAAAAAATCTACTTCCTCAGTGCCAAAGAAAATGTCATTTTAGGTTTTGACTAAGTCGTTTTTTTTTAATTTAACTGAGTTTATAAAAAATAGTATCAATATTTGTATCTTTAGAAAGATCATTATAAAAAATATATTTCGCTATCCATTTAATGATATTTATTACGCATCATACATGTTGATCAGACATTTTTGAAATTAAGAAGATAAATCTACTCTTAAAAGGGCAGAACAACATTCTTTGTTTTTTTTACGGAGAGAGTATTTAGCCGTAGGAAAACCCTCCAAAAGTCCACTCACACACGTATACAGTTCTCGGCTTCTCGCCTCCAAGTTTACGAAGTAGCCCCTCGAGAAACAGCTAACTACCAAAACGTTCATTCCGCAGCCGAGGAGAGATCTCATCTCGGCTTCTCCGCCGCCATGCCTCCCTCCCCATCCTCCGCCGGCGCGGGCGCCGCCTCGCCTTCTGGTTCCGCGTCCGCTTCAGCCTCCGATCCGACCCCGTCTTGGTGGGAGTCCGTCTCGCAGGCGCGGTCCCGCATCCTGGCGCTCTCCTCCATCCTGCCCGCCGCGGTCTCCCACGACGTGGCGGCGCTGGCCGACGCCGACCGCCCGGCGCGCGCGCTCCTCCGCTCGCCCGGCGCCTACGCGGCGCTCTCCGACGCGCTCCGGGCGGGCGGCGGCGCCGACGACCCCGCCTGCCACTGGCTCTACGACACGCTCCTCTCCGCCGACCCGGACCTCCGCCTCGCAGCGCTCGCGTTCCTGCCCCTGCTGGCGGCGCTCTACCTCCGCCGCCTCCCACCCGAGCTCCCCTCCTCGCTCTCCGGCTTCGAGGCCGTCCTCCTCGCTGTGTACTCCTCCGAGGCCAAGAATCGCCAGGGGAAGCCGATCCTCGTCCAGGTGCCCGACCTCTCCGTCCCATCCCTATACCACACGCCGGCGTCCAGCCCCAGCTCCAAGTCCCCTCGCCGGTCGCAGCCCCCGCCGATTCCCCCTCCGCAGGCGACTCCCGTGGTGGGGGTGCTCTCGCCGCCGCTGGAGCCACAGGCCGCGGTGAAATCGACGAAGCGCGCCGGAATTATTGGAGTCGCATTTGAGGCCTACTACTACAAGATTTCGCAGATGCCTGCTGCGTCGAAGGTGGATGCCTGCAATGCTGCGGCTGCGTGGGCAGGGCAGTACTGCAAATGCCGTTTTGAGCTTGATGACAAGGAACTGGAAGAAGAGGAGGGTGACTCTCTGGGGTCTGTCTCGCCAATGTCCTCAGAGGCTGAGAATGGGAAGGAACTGGAGGACGAATTGGCCAGGATGCGTATCAATGGAGACATCAGTGGTCGGAATTGCAGCGAAGATGACAAGGAGGCGAGGGTGCCACTTCCCTGGGAGCTGCTCCAGCCATTGATGAGGGTTCTTGGGCACTGCTTGCTTGCGCCACTGAACCCAGCCGAGGTGCGTGATGCTGCGTCAGAAGCAGTGAGGGTCGTCTATGCCCGTGCATGCCACGACCTTGTGGCACAAGCAATCTTAGCAGCCCGAAGCTTGATTGAGCTTGACAAGAGTGCACGAAAGGCTGCCAAGGCAGCAGCTGCTGCGGCTTCTGGGCAAATTGTTGCAGTTGGCACTGCTGGAAGCAATGCATCAAGCTCTAGGCCAAGTTCAAAGCCAAATACACCAAGCAAGCAGCGGAAGCCTGACACACTGCTCGTGTCCAAATGAAGTCAAATGCGGTACCTCCAGTAAGAGTGTTTGTGTATGGTAAAGAGTTTCTTTCTGACGAGTGTTGTGTGTGTGTGCCACATGAATATTGGTGAAAGTTCAGTAGACCTTGCAATACGTGAAATGTTATTATTGCTGCAAGACAGTTGGCTAAGGTTGTTTCCAGCTTGGTGTTGTATGTTAATTTGCTTATTACTTTTTGCATATAGTTCATGAATCGACATATATTTTGTGTTTTTGGTGGTTTGGCGAGGAGCAAGCCTTTATATATTTGCTGTAGTTGTTATTGGTTTTGCTGTAATCTTTATCTGAATATCTTGCAGCAGTGTGCGCCAGTAATTCTGTATGAAGATGCTTTGTTGTACTTCAAATTTATCCGTTCCATGTACAGACAGCAGCTACTGTATGGATTTATAAAGTTATTTATTGCAGCGAAATTTCATAGTTCAGTTTGATATGAGCACAAAGTTTTTACTGCACCATTGGAACGTGGTTTGCCATTAGGCTCCGTTTGAGGAACATCTGGCAACGAGGATGAACGGTGCAGATAAGGAGGGCGCTGAATAATTTTTGATTTGGGAAGTATGTCAATTATTGTTCTTTAAATGAAACCAATGTGAGAGCAGGAGCAATATTGCACATTTGGAATGGATTATGTGACTATTTTAGCCATGCGTGATATACTTGTTCTTTTTTCCATGCACTTTAGTTAGACATTGATTTAATTCTTCTAAGAGAAGTTATTGATATTATAATGCAGGTTCCTCAAGAGATCCAATCAGAGGCCAAGTATCAAAATGATTTCATATCGTAGCTAGTAAGTAACTAATTTTCCTTATAGTTTGGTGAAATCCTGAAGAAAGCCCAATGCCTCATTGATTAGAATTCTTTAATTCTTCTAAGAGAAGTTATTGATATTATAATGCAGGTTCCTCAAGAGATCCAATCAGAGGCCAAGTATCAAAATGATTTCATATCGTAGCTAGTAAGTAACTAATTTTCCTTATAGTTTGGTGAAATCCTGAAGAAAGCCCAATGCCTCATTGATTAGAATTCTGCACTTGTAGTCAATTATCAACACATATATTTGTTTGAAGGTTCCAGTCACCATGTTGTAATACAGATGTACATATAGGTCGTACGCGATGTATTTTCCATTTCTAACAAGCTTCAAAGTTCTATGACCTTGCATATGCATTTTAATTGGAATTGATCAACACTGGCCCATTTATTCGTAGTGTTACATTTTCTCAAATGTCTTGTTAGCACAATAGCATGATGTTTAATGGTGTTTAAGGATCAACATATAGACATGGCACAACTGGTAGGCAAAGACATATGAGAGGAGGGGTTAGCAAGTTAGCATCTGTAGAAGAGGAACGGATCATCACAATCTGATGATTGCTATGAAGCTAAGCAACACGTGGGAACTGATTGTGCGGTAACTTAGAGTAGGTCCTATCTCTTGATAGTCTGCCTGATTCAGGTTAATTTCAAAGATAACTCTTATCGAGTAGTGATTAACCTTTAGTACTGTCTTATGCATTATAGTTTTCGTCCAGGAGAGAGGGGGGGGCTTAATTCCTTCTATATTAGCTAGATGCATTTGCCCGGGTTTCCCATTTCATGAATCAATAGATTTATACTAATATACGAAGAACCTCCCTCTTCCAAAGCCTTCCTTGCCTTAACACCAAATTCTTTTGCTCTCATCCTCATCTCCTCTGCACCTCCCTCATCCATCAACTTGGACACAGCTGTCTCCACAGCATCCCTTGTCACTGTAGCCTCCTTTTGTTCATACCCCCATTGTGTCACCGCTTTCACTCCAACTTCCACCCCAGTTTTCAGCACATCCACCACCAACCTTTCATTCACAAACTGCTCTGCAAAGTGTGGCCATGTGATCATGGGCACGCCTGCACAGATGGCCTCTAATGTTGAGTTCCACCCACCGTGTGTCATGAAACCTCCAATAGATTTGTGCCACAGGATCATTACCTGTGGCGCCCAGCCCCTTATGATCAAGCCTCTGTCCTTTACTCGTTCTTCGAACCCATCCGCGAGCCATTCCTCAACTTCTGGAAACTTATCTCCTGCTTTAATCACCCAGATGAACGGCTTGTTGGAAGATTCCAGCCCTAGTCCCAGCTCAACAAGCTGCTGAGGTGCAGTGCAGGCCAGACTGCCGAAGCTTACAAAGATCACCGAGCCTGGATTCATGGAATCAAGCCATTGCAAGCACTGTGCCTCATCCATTGAGGCCTTGTTTCCTCTTGCAGCCATCGTGTTGCTGTCCTGATTGCACAGACACATTGGTCCCACTGTCCAAACCTTCTTCCCTGTAATCTGCTCAAAGGAATCGATGTACAAAGCCTCCAGCTCTTGGAAGCTGTTTATGATAACACCACTGGATCTCATCTCCTCCTCATTCATGTTCTTACGGATTTGATCCAGACCAGGAACAGATAGACTTCCAGGGCATTTTGCCTTTGCCAACTCAAGGAGCGTAGGGAATCCTGGGAAACTAATGAGCTCATTCTCATCTTCAACTTGTTCCAGTAAGTTGTCACGGACAATGATGTACCTGCAAAATATAATTATATTGTATTTAATCACATTATGCTGCAAACTTGTTTCCTGTTACTGCCAGTTCTTAGTCAGCATGCTATTGTTGAATTTCTGCCATTATTGGTTGGAGTGTAAACTAAAATATTGTTCCTGATTAATTAGTAGTACTCTGATTAATATTTTTTCCCTTTATGTTACACTCATAAAATCGTTTCTGAATAGTAGTACTCAGATGAATACTTTAATTTATTTTGCACATACATAATTGCCTTTGGCCATGTTTATGTCCACTTATAATCAGATTTTCAGTGAAAAAAAGCGAGAGTCCCACCAAATGCTTTGATTATTTCTGCTTATATTCTACCGCTGCTTCAGAACTTTGAAGTAGCTAAGTCAAGAATCAAAAAATTCCTGTTGTATGACGGTTATAACTTATATAAGCAGAAACAAATAAGGTCTTTCTTTTCTGAAGGAACATATGCTACTTTTTACTCCAGTTTTTGGACCAATTACATTTTTAGTGATAAAATATGCTTCATATTGACACAAAATACCTGGCAAGGTACGCGAAGCCGCAGAAGCCATTAAACGTCAGCCTTGGGATACCAAACTCCCTTGCGATGTCACCTGTCCACCAGTGCATCATGTCTGATATGATGCAGCTTGGAGATTGGCGTTGCTGACTGAGGTATGCAACGAGGGGCTCCCGAAGCGCTGCGCAGGCATCCATGAAGTTCTTGAACAGATCTCTGGATTTGATCATGTCGACGTTCTCGCATCCTTCAGGCAGGCCAAACTCAACGGCGGGGAAGCGGAGCTTGACGAACTGGATCGCGAGGCCTTTTGCCACTGCGTGATCGATGAACCCTGTGATCCTGGAGGCGTTCAGTGGTGTGGTGATGAAGCTGACCTGCGCGCCATGCTTGGCTAGCAGGTATGCCATGTCAGTCATGGGGATGGTGTGGCCCTGTGCCATCATTGGAACCAGCACGAAGTGTGTCCTCTCAGAGGCGTTCAGGTTATGGGCGAGTGCTTGGGTGGCAGAGGCCATGGCTGTGGCTGTGAGATGGTGAAGTGGAGACTGGAGAAGCATACACTAGTTGTTCTGGGAGAGGTCGTATGCTGTTTGTGTTTGAACCGGAGGAGATAGCAGCTGAGGTATATATGTAGTCTCTGTTCCTCGTGCTATGAAACCGATGTGGGTAGGTTCGGTGACGCATGTACACACGTCATGTTATCAAGGAGATAAGAGGCCGGCAGCATAACAAATTGCAAATTGCTACAGCTTTGGTGGTGCATGTTCACACGTCAATCAGAGTCGTGGGATCGTGGTTACAATATTGGATAGAGCTTCTCGAGTCTTGAACTGGAGCAGTGTTCAGGCTGTCCGACTGGACTGCAGATAGCTCGGACTAGCATCGTTACTGCCTAACATGTTACATGGCCCGGGATTCTTGACAATCCTGTGACTAAAATGGGTAACCAAATAGTTTATCCACTAGAAGTTTAGGCTATGTTGTACTCGAATCTTTATATGGTGGTGCTCTCTTGTTACGCTAGTTTGCTTGCATGGTTCTTTTTGGCATGTCTACTGGTAAGCGTATGGCTCTGGAGCCTTTTGATCTTTCTGGTGATGCTTGCGTTGCTTGCTTGTATTATTAATTGTCTTCATAAAAGAAGTCTGAGTGCCAGTTTTTCTCAGGCGGATCTCATCCATTTGGAAAACTGGATACCTGGGGGCCCTTCATTTTGGAAAGATGCACTTGGCAATCTTGCATGCGCACGCAGTACTTCCAATCTAGAAATACCTGTTCTGGTTCATCTCCCATGTCAATGAGTGTGTATAAGCTTTCACGATATCCTTGTAGCTGCTTCTCTCATGGGATATACTCGCTGTTTCGAGAGAGAAAGCAATTAGTTTCAAATTTAATTTATGCTGAAACTATTTTTTTAGTCTCCTGTCTGACAAGCTGAGGCTGCGATGCATCGGCCTGTTCGCTTGCTCGTAAATAATCGTAAATTTTCAGCCGGGAATAGTATTTTTCTCTCACACCAAATCAGCCAGCAGTAAATAATCCACGATACGATACGGCCTCCCGAACAGGCTGCATGATGCATGCTGTTTCGAAATTCCTCTTATCAGCCTGGCTTATCAGCCATGGTACAGTGTTTTTCTCTCACAATAAAACTTCAGCCGGCTTATCAGTCGCAAAACCATCAGCCGAACATGATTGACACGTATTATGTTCACTTTCTTCTTTGATCACCTTTTTCATGTAGATATATATCACACGTATTATTTTATACCATACAATCTGGTCTCATATATTAGCTATGCTGGGATCATTTTAATGTCAGCTCCTCTTGTGGAACTAATACTGTTTTGGAAAAATGTTTGGCGAAAATGGCTTTGTAATAATTTGATTTAGATCCGTAAGGAGGAACGGGGATAAACAACGTTTTTACGGCTTTGACTCGTCAATTTTAAAACAGCTATGGCTCTTTCGGGCTCCTTAGAAAGAAGCCACTTTTTAATGTCCATTTGGTACAGCTTCGTGACAAGAGCTGTTGTACCAAAGAGGCCCTTATTCGACACAAAGATAAACAATTTGGAAACAACCAAGAAGTAGAGGTTAAGAAGATAGTTGGAGCAGAAGCAAACAAGGTACTCCTATCTCTTAATACGATTCGGGCACCAAAAGCGGGCACCCGATACTGCCACATCACCCATTAACCCGCTAGCCGTTCGATCGACCCGTCACGCAATACTGATCGTCCGATGCGGGTCTGATCGGGCCTCTCGCCCATCAACCCGCAAACCTGGTCACCCACGAATCGTCGTGAACCCGGGCCGACGTTGGCTTCCTTTGGCTCCTGCCGCCGCCACCGGTCCCGTCCCTGCCAAGCGTCGTCCCCGTCCCAGGCCGCGCCGCCGAGCGCCACCTCGGCGGGAGGCCCCGACGTCCTCTTCCCGCAGGCCCGGGCCCGGCCGCGCCTCCACTACGGCTGCCACTGCCACCCCGCCGAGCACCGCCACCGCCCCCGTCCCAGCCGCCGCCCAGGCCGCGCTGCCGACCGTCACCCCGGCCCCCGCCGAGGTCGCGCCACTACCGCGCTCGCTACGAGGGGCGCCACACCGGCCCCGACCCCTCCCAGCCCGGAGAGCAGTTTCCAGCCGAATGCCGCCTCCACACCCGTCGAGGCATCTTTCATGGTGGGGAGCACGATCAGGTGGGAGGAAGGCCTGGCGGCTACGGATTTGGTGGGATCGGATCGAGGCTATAATTCCTCACTAAGGACTGGCTCCTCAAGCATTGCACTTGTGTCCCGGCCACTGTCGCCGCGCTCCGTAGTTCGCCTGCCGCCATCGGTCATCGACCCCGGCACACAACCAATCGCACAGCTTGAGGCAACGACGATGGAAGCGAAGCGCGGGACGACGCCCAGCCTGAGTCCGTGTAGGTGTTGCGCTCCACGCCTTTGTCGCCAAGAATCTCACCAACTCATACGTCTACTGCAGCCGGCGGAGGTACGTCCTCAGGGTGTTTGATGAAATGGCCGTTCGCAATGCCGTGAGTTCAAATTCCTTACTTGCCTCCGTCTCCTCCATTTACTTGAATAGGTGGCCAGCCAGCTAACTATCATGACAGTGCTCCCTGGACGGCGCGAGCCACCAGCGATGGCGTCGGCAATTGGCGTGGCAGACCACTTCCTCGTGTCCTTCTCCTTCCACGACCCCAATGCCGAGGAGCGCCATCAGGGACCATCTGCTCTGAGCCAACGCAAACAACCAGGAGATTGAACATGCGCTCAAGGTGAAGCCCTGCCCCACTGATCCTTGTTTTCAGTAAAAATGAGATGCTATTGTTTCAAGTGCACAATCAAAATTTTACCTGAAAACGTCCCTGAGCGACTAGCTATCTGTGATTCTATTTCCTTTCACGCTTTTAATTTAATGGATGGTCGCAGTCTACACTTCTTTTCTTTGTGCCTTTTGGATGATGTAGGTATTCAACTGGAGAAACGTATTAGCTTATGTTTTTGAAGTGTACATTAATTCACTGTTTGACAATGTTTCTGGGGAGGTAGCATTCGGAAGTGTTCAAATAAAGATTTGATTTTTGTTCACTTTGGACTTCCACATTGTATTTGTGTGCGTAGAACTGGATAAACGATGTAGAATCAATTCTGTGCTCGACAATGTTGCTCTGGTTGCAGCTGAATGCTAGTAAAGTGGTGCCTGTTGGCCCCGGTGAGCAAAGTCAAGCTTGTGGCTGATAAAGAGTAAGTGAACCATTCTTCTGTGCTTCAGAACATTGTGCTATTCTACTGCTGCCTGATTAATCTCTCAATTAGGCACCATAATATCCAAACTATCGTAACATTAAAAAATCTCTTATAGTTGTATTACTTGCTGTTCTGTGAAATCATCCAAATATGCTGAATAAACGCAAACCCAAATATTGTATGGTTTACTGCTTGGTACTGCATTTCAACCATGCTTTTTTGTGACTAGATTAGAAAAAAATGCTCTTCCTTAACCTTTCGTTGCTAACAGGCAACACAATCAGCTGTGGGTCGCAACAACCACATCAACTGGCTATTAGATTTGTTTACTGCAATTTCTATTCTTTCTGGTACTTATCCAGATCATGCTCAGGGTGTCTGCCTCCATGGAACAACGCCACCTCAAATTGCGTGCAATCCTCAGGAGTGGGGAAAGAAATTATTTCTATTTTTCTCTGAATACCAGTAAGGGGGCACACACCTAAAAAAACAAAACAAAACAAAAAAACCTAAAGCTCCTTGCTCCAATCTTTCTTGCGTGCATTCTAGAGAGGTTCTTTCTTTCTTTTGTGCTGTGGTCGTTGGCTAATTGATTTCCATTCTACACAGGTTAGCTGGAACAGGACGTGAACAAAATGTGTTGGAGATTAATTGCTGTTTTATGGATTTCAGTGCGCTGATTATGTTTAAGTTTTTTTGCACGTGGATTTCATCCCCATATCCTAATTTAGGCATATGATATTTCTTCTGTTTGATGGATTGTTCATGCCCTACTTGCTTGTAGCAGGGAACTGTTGATGAGTGGTTTGATTATGAGAAATCGGTTTTGTGCTCCATGCCATGACTCCATCCAGGGGCCAGCGGTGGAGTCAGCAAAGGGGTTGGCTAATGATGCAGAGCATAGGCAAGCAACTCACCTTCAGCTCACTACCTATGCCAAAGAGATAGTAACAAGCATTAAGTGGTGACCGTGATTTCTAAAGATTGACATCTGATCTCATACTAAAATTGAATTTTTGTCCAATCCGTACCAGCATCTCTAGAGGAGTACTGTCAAGTGTCCATGTATCATATAGGTTGTAAAATATCTGCAGCCTTTCCTGCTTTTTTATATTTCTCAAAGAGCACAAACTCACTATGGAGTTCAGAAAAGATACAATATATCTACGTACAACCACATTTTATACGTCGATCCTACTTTTTTCATGTAGTAATTTTTAAGGATTCATCCTACCAAGATTTAATGCGATTCTAATTATCTATAGGAAGGAGGAATACTCCATCTCTTTACCTCCTTTGAAATGCCTCCATTTTTGGAATATCATTATGATTAATATATTAATGAGAATGTGATGTAACAAAGGAAAATGCATTTTGTTGTATATAAATCTTCATCAACCGCAGTCCTTTTATCTGAGAGTGATATATAAATGGTGTTCCCACTTCCTCCTTTTCAAAAATAAAAGATATGTGTTAAAAATTTATTAGTCTTGCAATTAACAATGCTTCTTTTATATTTTGCGCCACTAGATAAGTAAATAGATACATTAATGTGAATGCAGTCATTTCTACTCCATGTTGACATCGGGGGTACCTAACATTGGCAGCTGCGCGGCAACACCGCGCTTAGTTTCTAGTAACCTATTATTTTTGCTTTTTTTTCCTTTTAGAAAAGAGCTGTATCGAATTCCTCGTCAATTTTTGTGGTCTTAGTGTAACCATGTTGACCAATTTGGCTAGAAAACGCAGACAGTTGGTACTTGGCAACCAATAAGTTCTTGGGTGTTTTCGATTAGTGTTTTGTGCTGTATATGAGTTTACTGAAGCATATATACCACTTCTTCACATGTCAAGATACCAGTGGCCGCCAGCGAGTCCGTGATCAGCTGCGCCGAAAGATTCGTCCCTCTGATGCACGTGGTTGTTGAGAGTTTTGACGGCACAGGCAGGCCGACATGGCATTTCGAGTTTTTTATCATCGTGCTGGCCATCGCAAGCATCGCACCTTTCAGCTGCCCAAGAAAAACTACAGGCGAACGGGAGGCGGCTGGGAGATTCATTTTGTTTCTTGGTGCTGATACGCTGTTGCACAATGTGGGCTTCTGGAGCCTCCTTTTCCTATGATTAGCCTGTTGTCCTTCAGAACACAGGAATCGTCGAGGAATGTTCAGAATGAAATTTCCAATAGGGTACTCAGATCGGTTACGTGGAATGTTTCTACGGCTATGCGTGGAGTATTAAATATAGACGAAAAAAAAACTAATTGCATGCAATTTGGTGGGAAATTGCGAGAGATGCGCGTTTGCCTTCTAATTAGTTTTTCCAAATTCCTGAAACTAAACAAGGGCTCAGATCGTGGAGAACATCGAGATGCGCAGTTTGCCTTCTTTTTTTCCACCTTTGACAGGAGATGTGCACTTCCAGCGACCAGTGGTCACTGCCTCGCTGGAATGCGCCCTTGATTTCCTTTCCTGTGGACTGTACGTACTAGACAGACGCCACCGCCAGAACAGGGAGTCCAGTGGACTCCGAACTCCGAAGACGGCGACAACGTAGCTTCGCTCGGCGCAGACGTCAGCGCGTCACCCTTCTAGAACATCTCCCCTTCTACAGCACATGCGCCCGCCATACGCTACATGCGCCCTCTCAGACCAATCTGCTGCAATGCCATCTCCTTGACACCAGTTACTAGGCCAGGTGGAAGGATCCTAGCATTAGCCATGATTATTTGCTAGCCTTAACTTGCCTTGATCACATGATTATTTTGTACTAGGCTGTAGCAGTAACCATAGGAGATTGGTGTAATCTTATTACTTAGCGGGCAATGCAACCTCGCCATCGGTCGTGTCGCGGCGACTAGCCCTCCTTGTGTTTATAAGGTGCACGCGCGCGGCAGCCATCTAAGCTACCGAGAAAGCAGAGCGTGAGAGAGAGGCTAGGAGTCGACAGGCACACACAGCCAATGGCGGCGGCGGGGCTTCACTTGGTGCTCGTGCCGCTGGTGGCGCAGGGCCACATCATCCCGATGGTGGACCTGGCGCGCCTCCTCGCCGGCCGGGGCGCGCGCGTCAGCGTGGTCACCACGCCCGTCAACGCCGCGCGCAACCGGGCCGTCGTCGACAGCGCGCGGCGGGCGGGGCTCGACGTCGAACTCGCGGAGGTCGCGTTCCCCGGCCCGGGGCTCGGGTTGCCGGAGGGGGTGGAGAACATCGACATGGTGGTGGAGGAGAAAGACCACTTCATGCCCTTCTTCCAGGCCTTGTGGAAGATGGACGAGCCGCTGGACGAGTACGTGCGGTCGCTGCCCCGGCGTCCCGACTGCCTCATCGCCGACACGTGCAACCCGTGGACGGCGGGGGTGTGCGCCCGCCACGGCATCCCTCGCCTCGTGCTGCACTGCCCGTCCGCCTACTACCTCCTCGCCACGCACTGCCTGTCCACGCACGGCGTGTACGACCGCGTCGCCGACGAGCTGGAGACGTTCGAGGTGCCGGACTTCCCCGTGCGCGCCGTCGGGAACAGGGCCACGTTCCGCGGCTTCTTCCAGTGGCCTGGAATGGACACCTACGAGCGCGACGTCGTCGAGGCCGAGGCCACCGCCGACGGCCTACTCATCAACACGTTCCGCGACCTCGAGGGCGTCTTCGTCGACCGCTACGCGGCGGCGCTGGGCAGGAAGACGTGGGCCATCGGGCCGACGTGCGCCTCCGGCGGCCTGGACGCGGACGCGATGGCCGGCCGGGGCAACCGCGCCGACGTCGACGTCGGCCTCGTCCTGTCGTGGCTCGACGCCCGGCCGGCGTCGTCCGTACTCTACATCAGCTTCGGCAGCCTCGCGCAGCTGTCGCCGAAGCAGGTCATCGAGCTCGCCCGGGGCCTCGAGGCGTCCGAGCGGCCGTTCGTGTGGGCCATCAAGGAGGCCAAATCCAACGCCGACGTGCAGGCGTGGCTCGCCGAGGGGTTCGAGGAGCGCGTCGCGGACAGGGGCCTCCTCGTCCGCGGGTGGGCGCCGCAGGTGACCATCCTCTCGCACCCCGCGGTGGGCGGCTTCTTGTCCCACTGCGGGTGGAACGCCACGCTGGAAGCCATCACCCACGGCGTGCCGGTGCTGACGTGGCCCTACTTCGCCGACCAGTTCTGCAGCGAGCGGCTGCTCGTCGAGGTCCTCGACGTCGGCGTCAGGTCCGGCGCCAAGCTGCCGCCCATGAACCTACCGGAGGAGGCCGAGGGGGTGCAGTTGACGAGCGCCGACGTGGAGAAGGCGGTGGCCGAGCTCATGGACGTGGGCCCCGACGGGACGGCGAGGAGGGCGAGGGCCAAGGAGCTCGCCGCGAAGGCGAAGGCAGCCATGGAGGAAGGCGGGTCGTCGTACGCCGACTTGGACGACATGTTGCGCCACGTCGTGGAGCTAAGCATGAAGAAGAGCCACGAGGAGGGCACGGGCGTGAGCACTCTGCCTTCTGCGCCACAGCTTGGGAGTAAGAACAAGGAGAGCATAGGAGCCGGCGCCGCCTTGTCAGTAGAGTCCTAAGCTGCATAGCACCATATGATTAGCATCTTGGACCATAATAAACACAAGTAGACGAGTAAACTGTATATAATCCACCATCTCCATTTGATTCGGTGCCTCTCGGTGGTGACCAAGGGGCTGATAGGATTCAATGGACGTTCAATTTGAACTTCCCGATCACATTTTGTTGTTAACAGTGTGGCAACACCGTAGTATGAGCTAAAGAGACATGCAGCGCTGTTGTATTGCTACCGGTTTGCGTGGTGGAATAAATCGATGGCGATGTGAAGGTAACAACGGATGTTGTAGTGGCGAACCTATTGTACTCTTTGTAGGAAACGGTGCGTCCATTTGTAACATTGTGAAGATCGGAAGATCGACAAGCGCTCATTTTAGAGGTTTGTTGTAATTTGGAGACTGCAGCTTTGAACCTCTTTGCGTTCTTCGGGTGGTCTTATATTTAAAACTAGAAAGCAACGCGGCGTTGCCGCGCGGCCGCGCGGGGTGAGTAGCAGAATTGTACAAGGTCTTTTAATATTTTGAGTAGAGTATACAACAACGGATGTTAATGATATATATTGTGTTAGTCAAAGCAATTTTCATATAAACTCCAGAATCTCCAAGTTTCATATAGTTGATGTGAAATTTTGAAAATGGGCAACAACAGTCATAGACGTGTTTATTTACAACTACCAGCACATGCCTGGATTTTAACCGGTGGCAATAAACCTTTGTTTGATCTAGTTTATGAAATATTATACAGATGCCAATTGAGATTTGGAGTATGAATATCTAAAAGTAAATTATAAGAATACTTCTATATGTGAAATGGATATAGACGGAAAACTAAATCGCTAGTGCTGAACATTTGAAGTTGCACTAATTCAAAGTCCCTCCGTTCAAAATTAAAAGTCGCTTTGACTTTTTTTTTGGTATATCCATTTTACTATACATGTAGATAAATAGTATGTCTAGATACATAGCAAAATGAATAAACCAAAAAAGTCAAAGCAACATATAATTTAGAACGGAGGGAGTATGATATTATATATCTACTCATAGATCTAGTCATGAGAAACTCAACAAAACTTAATTTTTCATTTTACAATTTTTATGTGATTTTGTATAGAATTTAGAACTTTCAGCTGATTAAAACATAAAAGAAAAAGGAAAACCTTAGGACAAACGCTTTGCACCTAGTTCCCTGTACTTTTCGTCAATCAAATCGCACTCCCATGTACCGTGAATAACAGTTCATGTGATTCACGAGATTTGCATTGGGAAACCTGAAAAGTTTCTATTCTTTTTTCCTTGCCCATGAACGCTCAGCAGAGCAGACCCATTCCTCGTTGCCACATCTATATTTTGTCTGAATTGTAGGGTTTATATGAGAGAAAAGTATACAAGTGAAAGAAATAACCTGCAGAATTCCCATTTCATGCCAGCTGTTTACAATGCCATCCATATAGGAATAACTGACAAAAAAGCAAACTATGCCATCTGGAACAGCAGAAGCCATTTCCAGCAAGAGGCGGCCATAATTCCTCACAACACCAGGAACATATCGAACTTTGTACTCACAGGTAGCTGATCATTGAAAATGATGAATGATTGATGTTTACACACAAGTGTACACTGGTACCAGTAATATGAAATGTTGGAAACAACTAAAGCGTCATAAAAGCTCAACACAAGTGTCATATGATCCTCAGGGATAAAAAGGTATCATGCATATGCAATACAGTGTTAGCATTTCCAAACCTAAGAATATATTGGCAATGCTAACATTTAAAGACCCGTGTATGCTACAGTAAATTTTGAAATATGAAGTTCCTGTGGGACCAGCTCATACCTTCCTCGAGTCAAGACCATGGGACAAATACAATCTCTTGTTAAGGACATTGTGAAGCTTCTGCTTATGACAGGATTAAAATTCAAGAGACGAGGATAAAGATCTATTTGGGCTCAGAGTTCCAGAAGTGAAGCATCATGGCAACTCAGCTGCAAAATAGATGAGCTCATTAGTAGCACATTAAATAAGGTGTGGTTATAATTTCATCATGATAGTAAAGAGTAGTCTGGGTACCTGAATAACGGGATCACGAATATCAGGCATTCTCTCGTCATTCGGCTTTATTATAATAGAAAAGCCCTGTGTATAAGTTCCAATCAGTCTGGCAAAGTCACATATGGTCTGTACGTGCATGAACTCATCTGTATCAGTTATCTCTAATGTCATCATTAGGGAGTGTAGCCGATCATAACAAAACCTCAGCATTTTTTGGTCGATTCCAGCCTGGGAGTGGATTGAAGCAACAAAGGAAACAGGCATTTAATTCTCAACGCTTTCTGTTTCAAGCCGGCCATCAAGGAATCTCACAAGCCTCCGCAAGACAGCAAGAAAATGTTCGGCCCTCCTTATGTTTCTAGGAACAGCTTCCTTCAGGATGTCATCAGGCAAAGCTGGATTCGCGAGCCAGAATCCGATACTCCATCACAAGAAGCATAATACTGTGAGCTATCTGCGGAAGGCCATAGCTAACAGTGCAAAATGCCGTACCAGTGGCAAAAGGCAGTGCTTACTTGGTAGAGTTCCTCTCTGCGCCAGTCCATGCACCAGTCTGTTGTATTCAGTACGAAGCCTATCGGCATCCGTGGCCTTGAACCTTCCTACCAGATAAAGCAGTTAGCAAGCAAGCTTAATTACCCATTGAAAGCATCTAGGTCCCTAGTTGAGTTTTAGTGATTAATGATAATACGTAATTATTATGATTAACGTGTGTTTTGTAGAGGTAATTAAGTTAAGTCACGGTACTGACAATTGATTGGACAATCATGGTTGTCATGCCCCTACGATAAAAATTGTTTCGGTTTTTAAAGTATGGACGACAAGGTTAAGGATAGACTAGTTCTAAGTGTCGTTTGATGTCGAAGAGGCACTTAGAGTAGTTTAGACTTTGTTTTTTCTTTGTCCGTACTATTAAGGGCGGTATGGACGGAGTAGCTTAACCTAGGTGAGTCTAGTGGGTTAGGTGTGGTGCACACTTGTCAAATCTAGCACTATAGCTCCTAAATAACCCTTAGATCAATTAGAGCGAACTTCATTCACATATGATTGAGAGTTGGAAGTGAATGGAGGATCAAATGCTGATCGGACACTGGTTTCGGTGTGACCGGACGCTGGCGCAGAGTCCGGTCAGTTCATTTGATCAAGGTGAAGTCGTCTGGTTGCGATCCGGGCTGAGAGGTGAGTGACCGAACGCTGGGCGTCAGAGTCCGGTCAACTCCAGTAAGGTCCAAGAGAGGGAGAATCCGGACCGGATGCATCCGGTTAGTGTTGATCGGACGCTGGTCAGGTTCCGGCTACTGACCAGACGCTGGGTACCAGAGTCCGGTCAACATCAGTAAGGTCCCAGAGGGCAGTTTTCGTGACCGAAAGCGTCCGGTCAGTGCTCCAGTTCAGCTCCACCTGCACCACAAACAGACCCCGCTCTACTTGCTATACTTGAGCGAATGAGGCAGGATCAGGCTCGCCAGGCCCAGGAGACCGCAGCTACATTTGCACGATTGAGCCGACAGATTTGAGTTCCAACGACAAGAATAAAGTTATCCAAAGAAGAAGAAGAAAGCGATCCATCCGAAACAGATAGCGAGCCATCCGGCAACGATGGCGAGCCTCATGCAAAGCAGCGATTACTTGGATTTATACAGCATGTTGTCTCTGCTATTGGGGCTCCACCGCCACAGCCTTCACCTCAGCTTGGTCAGCCTGCCACCACTTCTATGACTCCAGCTTTCCAGCCCAGTGGGCTTCAGATTCAGGGACAGCCAGCAGCATAGTTTCCTTCACCTACAGAGTAGGTGTCCCAATGGTTTGCCTCACCAGTGCCAGCCCCGTAGTTCACAACTCTACAGACGGGCTTCACACCGGCTCAGACTTCCTCGCTGCTTATGCCAGATATCTCAGTCTCTAGGAGCCTTGGTGCTACCTTCAGTGAGTTGACAGGGCAGCCTACTCCGCCATATCTACATGTCCCTGGTCCTTCCATAGTTGCTCCTATTACTGGGACTACAGAGACGCTCCTTTCGTCAGTTGCATCATCAGAGCCGCCTGCTTCAGTGATACCTGCAGAGTCACAGGCCGCACCAGTCCCCGCTCCGACCCAGATCACTTCAGCGTTGCTTCCAGCCACAGAGGGTCAGACTGAATAGAGCTCAGGATCAAATGATGATGGCACACAGTTGCAGATCGCTCATTGCACCTCAGCGCCCGATTCGTCCGCTGCAGCCCCGCCGACCGACCCTTGAGGTTTTGGTGTTTAACACCAAAGGGGGAGAGGGATTGAGTATGATAGACTTAGGGGGAGCGATATATTTAGGGAGAGCTTATCTATTATATTTGGTTTTTATGTGTGATACATTATTATGCATTCATGTGTTTACTTTCATGCATTGAACTATATTTATGTGATAGTGATATCTATGTGATCGTGGTATTTATGTGATATATGACATGTGTGCTCTCAACTTTGAATTATTTATATGTCATGTCACTTGGTTATGCTCATTTGTTTTGCTTCCGCGTTTTTACTCCGATGCAAATGAGCTTTATTACCTGTACTCATGCTTATTTCATATCTATTTAGTACATCATGTTGACTTGGGTCATATAAGCTTGCCTAACTCTTTTGTTCTTATTCTCAAAAGCTTCTATGAACCAAGCATGTTGAAAACATCATCTCTTTTACATATTCGAGGTTGTATTATCAGCAATCACCAAAAAAGGGGAGATTAAAAGCATCTAGGCCCCTAGTTGGGTTTCGGTGATTAATGACAATACGTGATTACTATGACTAACGTGTGTTTTGCAAAGGCAATTAAGTTAGGTCACGGTAATGGCAATTGATTGGGCAATCATGGTTGCCATGCTCCTACGATGGAAATCGTTTCGGTTTTCGAAGGATGGACGACAAGGTTAAGGATGGACTAGTTCTAAATATCGTTTGGTGTTGAAGAGACAC